AACCTGGAATCCAGCTCCCGCCCACCGACCCGAGTGATCACCATTGCCGGACCAGCAGGTGTTCAGGATGTCGGTAGCCAGGCTCTTCAGAGTGGCCCCGTCCGTCTTGCCACCGAGCGCGTCGGCGCCTGTCGACTTGGTGTTGGCCGTCATCGTAACCGTGCCGACGTTGCCGTTCGTATTCAAGTACGCAACCTGGCAGCAGTAAGAGCCGCCGCCCTGGCTGTGGCTGAGGCAGCTCGACCCGAAGCCAAAGTCCCCGTCCCTGCCGGGGATGCCGAAATCCTTCTGGTTCGTGTTGATGTTGTTGATTATGTCCTGCGCAAACGCTCTTGGGACGCCCTTGTCTCCCTGGTCGCAGTACACGCGACCATCACCGGGGCTCACAGCAGGGCTGGCTGCGACGAGCGGCACGAGTGCCGAGAAGGCGACCGCAAGGATTCTAGAACGCAGGCTGAGCATATTTAACTAGGGAAGCGTGTTAGCGAATGACACGAGAGCAGGGATCACAATGCAAAGTCTTACAATACGGTATTGTAGAGCAGCTGAGAGTTATTTGCGACTGAGCTGATGACTCTTCAAGTTGCGTGGGTATGCGTCGAAGGCATGACAGGTCCTTTTATACTGTCCCTGGGTGCCCTACAAGCGATAAATGGTCCAGTCCAGAATGATTCCAGCAGCAGGGTCAATACTGCTGGAACCTAGACGTCCGCATTGTTCATGGCTGGGTGCCTCTGACCGGTTTCCGAAAAGTGATACCTCCGACTGGGCATCAACCATTCAATTTAATGATCTGGAATGATCTAGTTGTCCTCGAGTTGAGGTACATGAAGATCGCTTCTCCCTTCGTGAATATTTGGGGCCGAGGGGGGGGGGGGGCAGCGCATCAACGGAGGGTCTTCAGATTCACGAGCTGCATGTACGATGGGTTCAGTTTGTACGCCTTACGACTAAGATTTCGTTGAAAGGAAGCGTAATGCACGGTGGGATCGGTCCAAGGTTGTTTGGATGTGTGAAGGAGTTGATTCGGGGATATACGTATGATACTAACTACGTTCGTGACCTTCACAGTCGCGGCCTTGTTTGAAGCGGACAGTCCCCATGCCAAATTGAAGCAACTGCGCCAAGGATGCAGGGAGGGGCGGTCCTCGCACCCGGCGAACAAAGCAGCCTTTGGTTTCATTCCAGTTGGAGGTAGGACCTCTCAGGACGAACTGTAATGTCGGACGAGCGTCGCCTCCGTCGAGCTTCGGACAAGAACTTGAAGGCTTGGATGCTGCGCCTCAGATGAATGAATTCAGCTTCAACTTCAAGTGCCAGGTCGTCATGAGCAATGCCACAACAGTTACCGTATAGGGCAAGACACATTTAGGCCTCATCCCAGCTGTAGCGTCACGTAGTACTATGTCTGAAGTTTGAACCTCATCTAGCCGCCCATGTATCTGGTAGCTACACTCATACTAGGAGTGGACAATGATCTCGCGGGAATGAGGGAAATAACTGGTCGACTTTCGTCTTACCCTACTGGCATACTAGAAATCTGCTCACACGATGTCCTCTGGCGCAGCACTGTATACAGTGTATAGCCCAGCGTCAATCTCCGCATTATCTTACGACCTGACTCTTCCCCCCGTGGACTTGTGTCTGATCCTGTCTCCTTGCTGCCCTCGCTTTGCGTTGTGGCCCTGCCGGATTGTGAATGAAACAGAAATGCTTCGCGTTATTCGGGCAACAAGGTCTGGCCGTAGAGCCTCGCTCCTCAGCAAAGATATTCGCAAACTGGAAATGAGGCCGACAGCGCTTGTTCACCACAGCCCTCGCTGCTGTTGCGCTCCGGTCCTTTGACTTCAACATCAACACGAACCAGAAGGATTTCGGCATCCCCGGCAGGGACGGGGACTTTGGCTTCGGGTCGAGCTGCCTCAGCCACAGCCACTGGCAGGGCGGCGGCTCTTACTGCTGCCAGGTTGCGTACTTGAATACGAACGGCAACGTCGGCACGGTTACGATGACGGCCAACACCAAGTCGACAGGCGCCGACGCGCTCGGTGGCAAGACGGACGGGGCCACTCTGAAGAGCCTGGCTACCGACATCCTGAACACCTGCTGGTCCGGCAATGGTGATCACTCGGGTCGGTGGGCGGGAGCTGGATTCCAGGTTGGGTTGAGCGGAGGCACTTGCTAGATA